CTTCATTTTTAAATCTTTGTTTTTGTTAACTGATACTGACAGTGTTGCTTATATTAGCCGATCATAAAACTGATGAATACAGATTTCACATTTTTTTATGACTTAGATTTCTTTAGGTAAACTCGATCATCCTCATACAAATCATTTTTGGGATAGTGAGCAAACAAGCAGATTCCGAAAAAATGTTTCAGTTTCCAAGGCCAAACTGTTTCAAGCACACAGCCCAGCAAAAGCACAGGCTTAGGGACACAGAGTGATAAAGCAGCAGGACTTCCTTCACTTAAAAAAAAAAAGAATATTCTATATTATTTGAAAAACATTATCTCTAACACATCTGCTTTGCAAATAACTGAATGCCATGACAGTCCCAGTTAGATCAAAGTTAGATCAAACTGCCTGTGAGCATTTGAAGCTTTTAAAAACACTTGTCATACATCTTAGTGGAAGTCTTTCGGGCAGCTTATTTTCCTTGATATAATTTTGTCACATATTGGAAGCCCTGCCACAAACAAACACGCACGCTGTTCAGACATGCATGCTGTTCAGTTCAGTCTAGAGCTTTAGTTGTCACCCTGTGATGCTAATTGGTACTTTGCTCAAACAGATGTTCCTGATACCTTTACAGGCCATGGAAAAGGCTGCAAAAACATTCTTATCTCACTTTGTGCAAAGTAAGACGCATTATCAAAATCCCACCATATAGCAGGTAAAAGAGAAAACAAGTAGATATCTTCCAAAGCGCAACATTGCTGTTTTTCTCACATTTCCTATGTTAATCTGGGGATGAATGGAAGGATTAATTGAGAGTAGATTTTCAGAAATTCAAATGAAAGCTTGAAGATTGTATTCTGATTGCACTGGACTGTATTAGCAGATTGATGAAATATGAGTACGCATGAGGCATAATTTGTTTAGTTTTACTGATGAGAGTCAAACAAACTCCGATGGCTCCAAAAAGTACAAAGGAATTGTTAGAATCCAACCACGTAGAGAAGAAGGAACACTGTCTTGAGACATTTGTTTCGACTTGTGAGAGCCTTGTGATATTGCATTCAGTCCTTTCACATTTTCAAATCATCTAGAATTACCTCTTACTTGCAAACACTCTGGCGTATATCCAGGAGGAGAACACTGTGCATCAAGCGATGCCACTTTGCTCACGGCAAAACTTCAGGGAACAAAAACACGCTGAGGCAGTTTGCCATGAAAAAAAGAAGAAGTTATAAAGTACAAAGTAGCTTCAGAAGAGAGCGCCTCAGGAAACAGATTGTGTAATTTCACCTTGATGTAAAACCTGAACAGAGATTATACAAAGAGAGTTAATACAGCTTTCAGGTCAGCTTTTTGTGTTGGGGTGCACATCGCCCCAAACTGTAATATCCACCTCAACTGACTCTTCGAATAACCTTGTCACCATTGTGGAGTTGTCATGGCAACAATTTTGGAATGTCACCAAGAGTGCACTTTTAGCATTAGTGTTTTTTTTTTTCTTTTTTACTTCTTCTGTTTTCCAGAAAGGACACAATGATGCACAGCCAGTGTAACGTTGAATGGTATTTATGTTTTCACATTACTTGTAAAACCTCGTTTTGAGTCATTTAGAAGTTCTGGTAACCTTTTTTATTGGACCTTTAGACTTAGGAATTCATAATCTAATCACATTTTATGTGAGAGCAAATTGTGGGTGTCACGGCAACCTGGATAATAACAGTCCTTTGCACTGTTACAATGACTTTGCCAAGACTGTGAATTATTAAATAATGAACTGCCTTGAAAGCTGTCTTTATGTCAAAAAATGAATTTCCATCAGCTTTCATATTGTCGGCATCACTTCAAATTTTACACAGAGTTTGTGGGATTAGACAGGAGCATACAGCCATAGGGTAATACAATGGAATCCAAAAATGATATTGTCTAAAGTTAATGGGGGAATTTTTTTGAGGATGACTGTTTTTTTTAGAGCAGCCTTCGGCCCATCTTGTTCATTCAACAGCTCGTCGTTATTTAGGACATGCCAGATTTAATTCTACTTTTATTTTCTGCACAAGGCAGAGTGGCTCTAAATCCTACCGACTGCACTGGTTTGACACCTCTTTAAATTTTGCTTTACTGACTACAAGTTGCCTCTGCTGGTTTTTACA